ATCACAATTCTGAAAACAAAATAACAAATTACAAACGCAAATGCAAGTCTAAAAAACAAAATAACAATTCAGAAAGCACAACAACAATTCAGAAAACATTATAACAAGTCAGAAAACACAATGACAAATTCGAAAACAAAATAAGTCAGAAAACACAACGACAAATCAGACAAACCGGAAGAGGTAGGTATAGTTTGAGACAGCGCCATTGGTTTGGGATTACTCACCGCTGACTGGACGAGACATCTGTCAATCAACATATACAGGAAGAACAAGCCGAAGAACAGCAGAGTCGTGGTATAAAGTTTGGAGATGGTATTAAAGTAGCTCAGTTTACATGTATTGTATGAATTGCCCTTACTATGGAATAAAAAATACGGGGTGTCTATTTACATTTAGTTAAAAGTGGCTGTAAATCATCAGCTCCAGTGGCGCAGATGGATAAGCACATGTCGTTGGCTTTTTGACGCGATCGACCCGGGTTCGGTCCCGCCTTTTGCCGAACTTTTTTTTTCTCCCTTTTCAAATCTCGTATCACATCGTAAAGGAATTTATTTTCAATAAAAATTAAATTGTTGTTGTGCTTTCTGAATTGTTATTTTGTTTTTTAGAATTGTGATTTGTTTTGCACTTCTCGGCCACCGTACTTAAGGCAGCTTCAGACCAAGAATGAGGTCTTCATCAATAACTGTTAGCATCCACACCAACCGACGCACAATAATGGTCTGTTTATTAGCATTTGCTGCAGTTCTGTCATCAAGTGGATTCTGATTGGCTGTCAATGTTTTTATCGTTCATCCACTGGAAAAAAAAAAAGTTCTAATAGTGATTCCAATTATATCGTTCCTCTGTGGCATTTATCATTATTCCCTGTTCTCATAGAATTAGAATGATTAATACAATTTTATAGATATAGTTATCATCCTTGCTGTGAATGGGCCTTTAAACTTATAAAAATATAGTATTGGATGGTAGTGTAAGCCAAATGGTGTTCCATTAATCTTTGACCCAGAAATTGCGTAAACAAAAAGTCGAATGGAACTGAAACATGAATTTGCTGTTTGCTGTTCCAAACCCATATTATCTTCTTTCTTTCACACAATAATTTTCATAGAAGAATGTCCAAGCTGCTCGTTTTGGTGTAATGAAAGTGGATGGAGCATTTGCGCATATTCAACCATGGCTCTTAAAACCCAAACCGATGCTGTTTGGTGCGTTCTTAAATTTATGGTTTATAAAAACGAACACCTTGGACATTGTGCTAAACATCTCCTCTTGTGAAGAAAGAAAGTCATAAGGGTTTGGGACCAAATCAGGGCGAGTAAACGATGACAGAATGTTCAGTTTTGGTTTATCTGATACTAATTGTCTCTGCCTCCTCCACAGTTGAAGCTCTGTACCGCAACACTCATCCTGAGTATCTTCAGTACATCTACCTGGTTGCTCCCGTCTCCCTCATGGTCCTGAACCCGCTAGGCTTTGCGTTCTGTGAGGTGCAGAGGCGGAGGACTGGAGAACCTCAGCAGCAGAGTAAGCTGCAAGTGCTGGGTTTGGTGCTCCTTCAGGTGGTCAAGAACCCTATTGTCTTTATGGTGGTGATCGGGGTCATTTCTCACTTCCTGCTGGGCCAGAAGATCCCGCCCTTCATGGAGGAGTTTGTAGATGGCCTGGCAAACTCGTTTGGGGGAGCAGCGCTGTTTTATCTGGGTCTCACCATTGTGGGTCAGCTGAAAAAGCTTACCCGCTCCACTGTGGTGGCACTTATTCTCCTCATCACGGCAAAACTGTAAGTCTACAGTAGTGAAAGGGAAATATTCCGTCATCATTTGTCGTCTCTCTTCTGTGAAACACAGAATAAGAAGTTTAGCAGAATGTCCACGCTGCTCTTTTCCATTCAAACAGTTAAAGGGACAGTTCACTCAAAAATGACAATTTTCCAGTCATTTACTCACTCTCAAGTCGTTCCAAAACTGCATGAATTTCGGTCTTCTGTCGAACACAAAAGAAGATATTTTGAAAAATGTGGGTAACCAAACAGTTGCCATTGACTTCCATAGTATTTTTTTATTCAAAGAAAGAAACTCATGCTGGTTTGGAACAACTTGAGGGTAAATGATGATGAAACTGTCCCTTTAAGCTCCGAAATGAACCAAAAAAGCACCATTAAAATGCTCCGTATGACTTGTGTCCAATATTCCAAGTCTTCTGAAATCATATGATAGCTTCAAATAGATCCCTTTTTTTTTAAATGAACTATCTATAGAGTATTCAAATTGCATTTATTTTCAGCCAAAGTCTTCAAGCTTCTCACTCTGATCTTTGCATGTTTTTCTAAGGTGAGAAAACTAATTTAATAATCATGCCCTTGGGTTGTTTGAATCTGTAAATATGCAGGTAGCGGCTTCCAGTGTAACTTGGCAGCAGTACGACCTTGTGTTTGTCTAATGGGAAAGTTCCTCAGAGCATCAACAGAGTTAATCCATCTGCTTTAAACGCACGAGCTTCGTCAGAAGGCAAAAACACTGCAACAACTGATCTGTTTGACCTGCTCTTGTTTGACCTGCATATTTAGTTTACTCCCAAACTCTTTTTCCGTTCTTACTCGTATTGATGAGTAAGATTAAAAATAATGTTGACAATGCTAAAAATGGTTCCTGTAATCTGAAGTTCTTGGGTTCCTTATGGTTTCATGATATGATGCAGAAGTCCCTCTGTTCACCCCTGATGTCTTTAGGCTGGTGATGCCTCTGATCTGTAGAGGGATGCTTGAGGTTTTGGACTGTGGGAACACAAGCTCGATGAACCACACCAGTCTGTCAAACTATGCCTTCCTGTATGGAGTCTTCCCCACTGCCCCTAGTGTGGCCATATATGCATCACATTACAACATGGAGCTGGAAGTGGTACGATCTTTGTGTAGATGTGGTTTTGCACCATTCATTCGTTCGTTCATTTGTTCATTAATTCATTCATTCGTTCATTCATTCATTCGTTCGTTCGTTTCGTTCATTCATTCGTTAATTAATTAATTCATTCATTCATTCGTTCGTTCATTCATTCATTTGTTTGTTCGTTCATTCATTTGTTCGTTCATTCATTCATTCGTTCATTAATTAATTCATTAAAAATTAGTACTTTTATTTAGAAAAAAACAAAACAAAACAAAAGTAACAGTAAAGTCTTTGAGCAGCAAATCAGTATATTATGATTTCTGAAGGATCATGTGACACTGAAGACTGGAGTAATGATGCTGAAAATTCAGCTTTGATCGCAGGAATAAATTACAGTTTAATATATATTGAAATGGAAAACGTTTATTTTAAATTGTAATACTTTTTCAAATTATTACTGTATTTTTGATCAAATAATTGCAGCCTTGGTGAAGATAAGAGACTTCTTTAAACAAAATAATAATAATCATACAGACCTCAGACTTTTTTTTAAGCTGAAATTAGATTTTTTCAGTTTAGGTTGTATGTGTCTGCATATTCTATATTTACATGTTTTTTTTTTTTTACCTGACACCACTCCCATGGCACGCTTAACTTAATTTGAACCTTATACCGCCACCGTTTTTTGTTTTTTTTTGTGATGATCACCTTTTATATGAAACATTTGTCCCGTTCAGGTGACCTCAGGGATGGTGATCGGCACGTTTCTGTCTGCTCCCATCATGTATGTGTCTGCCTGGCTGTTGACCATTCCGTGGATGGACTCAGATCCACTAGCGTCAGCGCTGCAGCACGTCAGCTTCAACATCAGCATTATCAGCCTCTTTGCTTTGGTGAGTGTCGACACGCTCACACGCAGATGCTCGGTTTTCATTTCTCTTTTTTTCAGTCTTCCAATTTAGTCCGGTTTTGCTTCCTGTTAAAGACAGAAATGGTTACAGTGTGTTGATATTGCTGTCGGCCCTCATGCCGGTGGTGAGAGCACATGTTTGTGTTGCTTCTGCTCTCGTGCAGGTGATTATTATGGGATGAAGGTAAATCCGTGTTATTGCCAGGGATGCCATGGAAAAATGGATTTCAATGTAGACATGCTGTGGGAAATCTGTAATGATGTAAAATAATGTTTTTTTTTGGGTAATTGAGAAAATAGATTTGATGATATTGTGTACGTATATTTGTCTGGATCTATAAATGTATTCAAAATACATTATTAATGTATTAAAGCTCTAGTAATATATTCAGTTCTTTCAGCAATTTCTGAATTGAAATACATTTTAAATTGTTGGAGGGTAAAATTTGATGGCGTGGTACAATGCAACTGTATCATAATGAGTATCAAACAGAAAAATTCTTAAAATCTTACCTTTAAGATTTACCTTACCTAAAAAAAAAAACCTTTTAAGTTAGTTCAAGCTGTAAAATGTCATGTGACACAATTATTTAAATTAATAATTTAAATAATAATTCATGATATTTGAAAATTGGAACAATTTATACTTTTTATATAATTATTTAAAAGCTTTTTTTAAATAGATAATAAATAGCAATAATAAATAAGATGTGTATACTCACATGTGTGAAGGTAAAATAAATAAATAAATAAATAAAAATATTACTTGGCTATACCACATGACAAACATTGAGTCGTTAAATTTGAACTTTTGTTGAAAAAGGCATAAATGTTTTTCAAAACCATATGATACAAAAAGTACATTTTTTGGCATTTTCGTTGTCTTAAATGTCCTTATTTGTCATTTCAGAGTCATATCAAGATTATTTAGGGAAATCTGATCAATGAAAACTGAAATTGAGGTAATTCAGCAACTGTATACGACAAAACGCTGATAAAATCAGCTTGTTGTAAAAATCGACAATGGATTTTTCTTTGGTTTTGACATCAAAACACGAACAAATATGTGCTCAAAACATGCACACATTGAATAAACAAACCAGAATGCCAGTAAAAGTGTTTACATTTACAAGTGAAATTAGAGGGCAGAAGTAAAGTTAAAAAAGTAAAGAAGAAGAGCCTTTGGTGTTTGCATGCTCATACATGTCATCACGTTATAAAACGTTGTCATTATAAGATGCATGTAAACACTCATTTTGATCTTAAGTTGTTATGACCATTGAAATTCAAGCATTTCATCGCGGTGTTCGAGCAGGTCGTCTAGTGTAGATGTTAGCTGCAGTGTTTCCAATCTCAGACTGTGTCATGCTGTTGTCAGATGCAGCTGTTGACACTTCCTTCCTCTTTGCATTCAGCTGGAGAGAAAAAAAAATACAACAAGAAACTGAAGTTTGGTTCAAGCTTATATATAGCAATATACATGCATATACAGACTCTCTGAACCAGTTAAACCAGGTTGTTACTGTAGGTGTAATATGTTCACATTGGTGATGGAAACATGACCTGCACTTCTCTGAAATGCTCTGTTGATGTTCATGCTCTTCCTCTTCCTGTCCCTGCAGGTGTGGAGTGTTGCAGTCATGCTGCTAAGCAGAAAGTTTAGCAGAATTCCTCACATTTTCACCATAAACCTCTTTATGGCGCAGGTAGTTGCTGGCTTTTAGAGACACTACTTTTCCATTAATATCATGAATATGTTTCTGAACATTTCGATTAACATGAAAGTGCAGTCAAAATGCAACCTGATGATTTTTTTCCACTGCACGTTCTGCACAAACGAATACTGTCCTGTGTTTGTAGTTATTAGCCTGTGTTGGCATGATAGCGTGGAACTTCATGGCAGAGCAGGATAAGTTCTTGGGTCAGGTGTTGACCTTCACTCTACTGTACGGCTCTCTCTACAGCACCTATGTTTGGCCTGGTGAGTCAGTCACCTGTTCCAAAACCATTAAACACTACCTGGTGCACACAACACCATTACAATTCAGAAAATAAAAACAAAACAAAATACCTGTACACTGTTTACCACATAAGCATGTATTTAACTGTTGAACATGAATATTTCAGTACTGTTTTTGCAAATATTAAGTGAAAATTTGAAATTAAAAAAGTATTATTATAAACTTTTGGGGTTGGGTTTCAAGTGTTTGAATAATGTTATTCATTGTGCTGTGAAGGTCTGATCGCTCTGTCTCTGCTCCTCTTGAGGAGACGCGAGGAGGTGAACTTCAGGCCGGGGCTCACTGTGATCGCTGGCTGGGGGTGAGTGGCACATTCAGGACAGTTACTGTACATAATGACCAACTGAGTTACACTGTGGCAGAATCCATTGATACTCTGTAATATGTTGCATATGTACTGCAGTATAAACCTACTATGAGGTCTGAGATTGTTCGTCAATAGAATGGTTAGAGTTATTACAGAAAAAAAAAAACAGTGATACCATAATGTCGAACTATATTAGTCATAATCCAGTCAGAGAAGTTGTTGTTGTTGTGTTGTAATTGAGAACAGCCTCATAAGGACCTTGCAGTCCTAAGAGGCATTGCAAATGACACATTGTCTCCCTACAGTCTCAAAATACTCGAAACCAGATGTATTATATTTTCTAATCAATGATTTAAGTGCACAGGCTTGTACCATTGTGCTTCTGATTTTCTCTCACAGTATCTATGTAATATGTGACCCTGGACCACAAAGCCAGTCATAAGTGTCAATTTTTTGAAATTGAGATTTATACATCATCTGAAACCTGAATAAATAAGCTTTCCATTGATGTATGGTTTGTCAGGACAATATTTGAAAATCTGGAATCTGAGGGTGCAAAAAAATCTAAATACTGACAAAACCGCCTTTAAAGTTGTCCAAATTAAGTTCTTGGCAACGCATATTACTAATCAAAAATTAAGTTTTGATATATTTACGGTAGGAAATTTACAAAATATCTTCATGGAACATGATCTTTACTTAATGTCCTAATGATTTTTGGCATAAAAGAAAAATCTATAATTTTGACCCATACAGTGTATTTTTGGCTATTGCTACAAATATACCCCAGCGACTTAAGACTGGTTTTGTGCTCCAGGGTCACATATTGGGATTCACCTTGGATCTAGATGATTTGGTTCTTGACTTATATCTTTATTTGAAGAAATTCTGAAGATATTTCTGGAACCAAGGCTGCTGAAAAAGTGGGCAGTTGTGCTCCTTTGGACAACTAAACTAAATCTTTTTCAGCCAAAAACACTGATGTCTGCTGTTTTCTCTCTCTGTCTCCTGCAGCGTCCCTGTTCTGGCTGTCAGTGTCCTGCTCCTGACAGGGGAAAGACTGCCGGACACTATCGACTCTGCATTCTTTTATGGAAAGGCACAGGTACAGAACTGATGAAAGAAAGCCTTTCACACAGTTCCACAGGCCCTCTTTCAGACTCTCTGTACTGTTACCAGTGTGCACGTCTGATCTGTCTGTTCAGATAATGTAGTCAGGATTGGTTGCTTTAGTAGTGGTGTAAGGGTAGCGTGAGAACAAGATACTTTTTCTCAAATTCAGATGTGCAGAATGAAAAGAGGAGACTAAGGGTGCTTTCACACCTGGCCTGTTGTTTCGGAACCTGGCGCGTTTCCCTCCATAGCTCGGTTCGTTTGGGCATATGTGAACACGGCACTCGCGCTGGTTGTAGTGAGAAAGCGATCCGATCCAACGGACCAGCGAACAAAGCAATCGATCTACAGGTGTGGAAGCACCCTAAAATAAAGCAATAAGCCCCATGAAGCCGTGGTTTACAGTGAATTTATAACAGCTTTGTTTTTTCGCGTCATGCCTAAAACCCCCTTAGCTGTTATAAATTCACTGTAAACCACGGCTTCACGGGGCTTATTGCTTTTATAAAACGGTTATTCCTAATACGTAGTAAGGTTTCACAAAATAAAACAGAGCAAATAAAGTGTAATGATATTAATAAAAACAGTATTCTTCCACCAAACAATGTAGTTCCTCAGAAACAGTTGTGGTTGCAACAAAGTGGTTGCAGAGCAACACACAGAAGTAAACAAAGGTGTATGTTTGTAGAGTATTTTACAACAGCTTTGAACGCGGCTCAACCAATCAGAATCAAGGACCGGAACTCTCCGTTTTATAAAGGTGAATTTTTGCCTCTGATCATGAACTCACATAAACAACGCATAAGATACTACTACTGTCCCCCATGAACCAAAGAAAGCGTATTCCACCCTTATCGTCAGACTAAAATGTTTATTGGCGTTCAAACCACACGACTATGACTTGAACTGGTTGCTAAAATGCGAGAAAAATTATATTATAATTTCATTATATTTTGTAGGTGTTCAGGCAACAAAAATTGGACTATCAGTGTGAACTAGGCCCAAATATATAAACAACACTAGAACTATGCGTTGCTTTATCTAGTTCAGCATATCACATTTCATAATTCCTGATTGAAAGGTGGTTTATACTTGTTTTATTGTTTAATTCTATTGTTCCCTTGATGTAGATCAAATTGGTGTTTTTGGTTTAGTCATGGGGGCTGATTAATAGATCACAGTGCCAGCAACTGGCAGCAGGAAGTGTGTTACTTACAACAGACTTTGAAATAATGCTCTTGCATTTACATTTATTAAAAGCATGTGCCCAACATGGATTTGCATGTTTGAGATCAAATTGGGAGTTCTTCAGTTTTGAGGTCACCTAGTGTTCTTCTAAAAGCTGAAACAAATATGGAAAACTGGACCTGAATTCATCCTGAATGGATAAACCACACTGCGTTTAATGTCTGTAGTCATATAATGAGTGTACTTTTGAATTGTTTTTGTTCCTGGTGGATTGTGTTTCAGGTGACGTGCACATCTGTGGTGTTATTTGTGAGTATCGTGCTGTGTGGCGTCTCTCTCACTCTACTCAGCAGACGATCACAAGACTATCACAGCCTTGAACATGGATCAGCGTCTGACAGTGAGGAGGACACACACACACAGAGCTCTGCTAGAGGCAGCATCAACACAGGTATGACACCCACAACTCCTCCTCCTTTTCTCAACCCATGGAATCGTGGGAATCTTAAAGATTGGAATTCTTAAGATACATTCTAAGATGTTCGTATGAATGTTCTTAAGTGCAGTTCTCAAAAAAATCATTAGAATATTTTAAGTTCCCTTTCATGGGAACTTCGAACTGCGTCCTCTAGGGGTCGCTATGGGGAACGCCTCGTCGTG